ACGCGTGCTGACTGACGCTCTCCCCCAGGACTGGTCTCCCTCACACTCATCCGTGCAATACGGAACTGGCGGTCGACAAGATATCCTCTCTATGCTACCCTAGTGAAGCATAATATATTCTACTATGCATGCGGTCTGCGTGAGTCAGGACTTACATCTGTTTCCGTACTCATCGGTGATGATCATTGTTCGGAAAGTTTTTCTCGGCCTTGAACGTCCTTGTACCAGTGATATTTCCCGATGTGCGTGAACCTGATGCCCTTCAATACGATCGAATAATTGATGTTTTACACTCTCAGTCCCCATACCACTCCTTCCTCGAAGAGTATGCACTTCATCTTCTGTCGTGGATTCCTACTGACAATACCCTATATACAGTTTCGAGGTCTTTATCCTTGCAATCCTCGCCACGCGGATGCACCTCCGTCTTTGGCATATCGACAATACCAAGCACGACGGTGATGCGCTCTTGTACATTTCCATGTCGGACATGTCACCTGGAGCCTGAGACCGTACGGTGTGACGTCTTATCGCGTGGCTTATTCGGTGTTGTGAAGTTTGGACTGTGAGATGACTGGTTTGGGTGGCTTGGCATGATGGATACCTTAATATCGCAGAACTCGCACTATAAATCTGTTTGCACACGATTCACGACTAATGATGACAACTCCTGCAAGTTGGGTTTACATAGTACCGAGTTGAACAATGGGCTCTTCCGGCTCGCACACTTCTCAGGCGTCCAGATGGCACCAACTGACAGGTCATAGATCCCTAATACTTCATACACAGTCGACCAGGATATAGTGCACGATCCCAATAATCGATGTCTATCCGAGTCAGTCTTGATCGTAGGACACGGCAGACACTTGGATGTGGTGCTGGTATACCCATCGTCCACACTATCTTCGCCTTGAACGCTGAGCTGCGGTTGGGACTATGCACCGAAGAGTGTTGTGCTTGTGTGATGTGATGCTACGCTAAAACCTGCTAAAACTCGAACAGCTTGCCGTGTACGTGTCTGACTAAGCTATGTGGAGATCGCCACGTCAAAAAATTCTCACCATCTCAAATTGACGCATGGCCAGACTGGTTAGGAGTCTATGTCTCTGGTCCATGCCTTGGTACCAACGCCATCGACTTTCTTCCGAATACAGCAAATCCTTCTAAAGTCCATTTTCTGTTCGCCCTGCAGCTCAGCCAGCGTGTTCGCAATCACCTTCGCTTCCCTACCCTGGCCATCATCCATCAACGACACTGCCCATCATAATAAGGATCATCTGCATGGCATCAAATTACGAGACGAACGGCGTTAGACTCATCAAGTTTGGATCCAGTGGATGCAAATTCTCCAAGCTTTCCTATCAGTGGTCACCGGCATTTTCGTGACATGAGGATCGCGATTCGCCAGGCTGTTTGTATGTGAGAACACTAAGATAATCAAGAAGGGCTGTGCGAAGGCGCTCTTGAGTATGAGCACAATCCACCTTTGCGACATTGTCTCATCCCTCCACCAACCCTATCTCCATTCATGGCTTGGACGCGTACTTTCTCCTCATATCGACACTATCTGCATCAAGCCGAAGACCACGCCGACGTGAGCAATTGATCTTTGAAGATTTAGAACCAAGGTAGCTGGTACCTGATATCAATGATGGTGTTGCAAAATTTCAAATATCAAGGAGCAATCAAGGAGTTTTCGAATCTGCTTGCAATGCGTTGATCAAACCTAATTATAGATACTGGGGCTGCCACTAGGTGCGTCTGACTCCTTGTATCTTAAATGTATATAGTCTGACCATTGACCATACAACTGACGTGCCTCTGACAGGAACGGAGTTTGACTATTCTCTTAGCCGTCTCTGGCACTGGAGAACTGTTGTCAAGTTGCGCTCACAGGCCCGTCTGCCACTGTGTTATGGCAGCCTGCGACCATAACGTCAACTCTCTAGATCATTAATCCAAACCTGCAACACGAATGCTGTCCCCGATGTCTACGCCCCCATCTTGATGTGCCTAGTTTATGTGAGAGATAAGGTGAATGATGTGTGCGAAAGTTCCGTCTCTTTACCTATCAAACAAATGCAGATGATATACTTGGCTGATGATATCGCGGCGTCCGACAACTTGTGTCGAAAATAAACAAGGAATCAGTGTCTGAGATCGTGATGACAATGACAATGCACTGTACATACGTATGAACGTCCAAAAGAGGTGTCCATCGAAACGTGGCGAGGGGGGTAGTATCACGCATTCAACTTCAAATATCACCTTTTGGAATCCCTGCATGAGTCTACTGCCATATAGAGTCATACGCAGGCGGAATATCTCTTGGTTCGCCTTCTTCACTATGCACCCGTCCCGCATCTTGGTGCTGGACAACGCCAGAAACCCTCTCCGTCAACTTCTTGCTGGGTAGCGAGGTCGAGGCCTTGACGTCCAGAAGCAGCTTCTCTCTCCTTCATTGAGTACATGTTTGGTCCGCCTTGGGGGTACCGGCCCGGCCTGGGCGAATGAAGCCCTGAGAGGGGTACCCGTTAGCAGCAGTGGTGGCGGTGTCGCTGTATTGGGAGGGAGAGCTAAGTGGGAGGGTCGTGCGGTTTATACTTGCGGCAGCTGCTGCGCCGGCGGCTGCACCCGCAGGTAGGAAGGGGCTTTCTCCGTATTGGCGCATGCTGCTACCATGGTCAGTGTAAGGGGTGATCTCATTTTCCTCGCCAAGGTCGACTTGGGGGAGAGTCCCACCCCCTGAAGGTTGGGAAATAACACGATCGGGGCCAAAGTTGCCATCGGACTCGACTCGCCTTATGCGACGGCGTAAGCAGAAGATGAGCAGAGCGAAGATGGCGATCGCGGCGATACCACCGACTACGCCACCTACAATTGGGCCGGTGTTTGATGAGTTGTTTGTGGAAGAGGAAGAGGAAGTTGAGACAGGGATTGAGGTTGTTGTGGATATCTCTGTTGTGATGATGACTGTTGATCCGTATGCATTTGTTGAGCTAGCATATTGGATAAAGGACTGTAAAAGACATGACATAAGAAAGGACGAACATAATAACGACGGGTACTGTAGTCGGGACAAATGTCATGGAGGTTGTTGTTGGAGTGGTACTTGTGGTTGCAGGGGTAGTTGAAGTTTGTCCATTGCTGTCAGTTGTCGTGGAAGGTGTGGAAGATAGGGAAGGAGCAGAAGATGGAGGAAGAGCAGAAGGAGCGAAAGATGTGGAACTTGAAAATGAGAGAGCAGAATAAGTATCGACTGTTACCGTCAGTGGGTTAGACATGATGGCAAGAAGGATATAGGAGAGACAACGAACTAAAAGTACTAAACGGAAAAACGTTTGTTCTTAACTTACTATAATTACATACTATGAGCGCGTCTGGACAAGGAATAACAAAAATTCAGATTCAACTGAGCCAAGTCACATGGTCTGTGAGATCCCGGATCACCCCAGGTCAAACACGCCTCTGCGGCAGTAAATTGATTTACATAATAGGTGGGGGCTCTCTATGCCATAGCCCGTATTGCTGACAACGCCCAGCCGCCCGCAACGTTCTCGCACTGCACCGCTTTCCCCAGAGTGCGCGCAGTATCGCTGAAATGATATGTCCGCGGACTCCGGAGGCTCCAATGCGCTTCTAGCAAGTGACAGGAGATTGGGGAAGCAGTGGAGCTTGGCAGCTTATCAGGATAGATCCGTTGTATGTATCTTTGTTCACGATCATGTCTTGATGTACACGTTCCATCCACGGTCGCCTTTTATTCTCCGAGCGCCTCAACGTTTTCTAATAACCTCCTCCGCATTACAGTAATGTTTTTTTTTAGTCTTTCGAACTAGGACTGAGTTCTTTCTTGCTCTTTTTCTGTTCGCCTTGCAACTCAGCCAGCGTGTTCGCAATCACCTTCGCTTCCCTACCTTGGTCGTTATCCATCAATGACACTGCCCATCATAATGTGGATCATCCGAGTCTGCATGGCATCAAATTACGAGACGAACGGCGTTAGACTCACCAAGTTTGGATCCAGTGCCAGATGCAAATTCTCCAAGCTTCCCTATATATCAGTGGTCACCGGCATTTTCGTGACATGAGGATCGGGTGCGTCTGACTCCTTGTATCTTGAATGTATATAGTCTGACCACTGATACAACTGATGTGCCTCTGACAGGAACGGAGTTTGACTATTCCCTTAGCCGTCTCTGGCACTGGAGAACTGTTGTCAAGTTGCACCCACAGGCCCGTCTGCCACTGTGTTACGGCAGCCTGTAACCATAACGTCAACTCTAAATCATTAATCCAAACCTGCAACACGAATGCTGTCCTCGATGTCTACGCCCCCATCTTGATGTGCCTAATTTATGTGAGAGATAAGAAGGTGAATGATGTGTGCTAAAGTTCCGTCTCTTTACCTATCAAACAAATGCAGGTGGTATATTCGGCTGATGATATCGCGGCGTCTACGAGTCTGCAATTCTTAGCGGTGCGTCGCTTTTTTTAATCGGAGGGCAAGATAATAACAAATATTCCGTGCGCGACAGTATCGATGCGGTGTGTATCGTCTAAACAAATTTGCTTCTTCCTTGTTCTAATTTGACGGCTCAGCGGCAATGGCGACATTCTGGGTAGGTTTGTCCCGATCTGTTCCCGCCCGCAGTTGAACCGAGTCACTTATCCAGACCTACGATTATGCTTGTTCATTTGAGGAAGAGGTAATGCACTTGTCACGCCATCGCTTGAGATGTCGATGATTTATTGTTCAAAGTGGAAATTTCTGCATCGGTCGCGCCGGAACAAGATGAAAGGCCTTTATATTACTGCACGATATGTACCCTTTTGTCTCATCACCACGGACCTATACCGTGCGTTCAGCTTTAGTACACATGCCCCCGATATTGAATTGACTTGTTTTGTTTCAGTGAACTTTGTCCCGAACGAGAACCCCGATGTATGTGAACGTGCAAACCTATTCGTTGACGAATGACGCTTACTACATACCTCGTCAGAAATGCCGGAAGTTAATCAATATTTACTCAGTGTACGTGCACGATATATGCTGCCTGCACATCCTTGCTGAGCGCTGCTCGTGCTTCTCAGGTTTCACGCTGATATCAATCATCTCCGCTGAATGTATCTCTTCTTCCCTTGTGACATGCGCATGCTCCTTATCCAATTCATTCAGGCATTTTAATGCTCAGAACATATGCGCTCTGGAACAATAATAAATCTGTTCTGGCCGCCATGGTGACCGCCTCTGTTGTGAGTCCCATGCCTTCAAGATGCCCAAGTTTATGGTTGATGAATGAGTCAGGCAATCATCATAGCATCCATCAGCATTGCATTTACCACTATTTCCACCTCATATAGTTCGTGCTCTCACTTTCCTCACTATTATTCGCATACAAATACTTCACCTTCACAGTTCTGACCAGCGCGATCCCCGGAATCGCAGGCTGCTATCGGAGCTCGAGGGGTGTTCAATTCTTCATACCGTATCTTCTCTTGTTTGTGTTTGAATTGGGTATATCGCCGGAAACTCAAAGCATACATGATAGACGCGCGCGCTGACTGATGCTCTCCTCAGGACTGGTCTCCCTCACACTCATGCGTACCATACAGAACTGGCGGTCGGATAACGGCCCTCTGTACACTGTCCTGGTGAAGCATAACATATTCTACTATGCATGTGGTCTGCGTGAGTCAGGACTTCCATATGTTTCAGTGCTCATTGTTGATGATTGTTGCTCCAAAAGTTTTATCGGTCGTGAACATCATCATGCAAGTGCTGTTTTCCGATGTGCGTAACCACCCCTCATACCCTTCAATATGATTGAGTTGTTGATTTTCTACACACCCAGTATGCATACCACTCCTTCTTCGAAGAGTAGGCACCTCCAACTTCTGCTAACAACACCCCCAAACTCAACTCACATATATAGTATGCTGTGCTTTCTCCTTGCAATCTTCGCCACGCGGATGCACCTCCATCTCTGGCATATCAACCGCAATGCGCACGGCTCTGACGCCCTTCTGTATATGTCCGACATATTACTTCCAGGCCGTACAGTATGACATCGCATGGCATGGTTATTGCGGCGTCGTTCGTGGAGTGGCTTCGACGCGTACCTTTCCGTTTTGAACTTGATATGGCAGAGCCAACGCTATTATATTGTTTGTAGACATTAACGATGAATCATGAAAACCTCCGTCCGTTGCAATATGTTCCGGAAGTCCGCCTCCACACAACGCATCCCATCCACGAGCTCCCACTTTGCAAGTCTCTGTTCCTGCAGAGTAATATTCACACACCGAGATTGGGAATGTATTCTTTCAGCTTGTATACTTCTCAGATGACCGACGCAGGATGGTACCAACTGACAACCCGTAGATGCCTAAAACCCCGCATGATCCATAGCCGATAAAGTCGACAATTCTGAACGCATTCTGATGTTTATAGTGGTCGTTCTGCTTGAGGCAACCGATAACACCAGTCTCGAAGACAGCAGGCACTCGAACGTGGTGCTGATTACTACGTGGCTTATTCGTTGTTGTCCGTTGTTGTCCATGTTGGACCGGTACGATGATGAGGCTTGTGTTTTTATCGTCTTGACGTGTCACGAACAGAAAGTGAGCTTTGCACTGATAGCAGCCAAGCGCGGCCACTCTTAGCCCAGTCATCGAGGGGTATGGGAGCTTGCCATCATTACAGACCCAAGCCGAAACCCAGAAAAACGATCCAGCATCTAAGTGTTCGACTTTGCCTTGCGTGATTTGTTTCGTGAGGAGGTCCATTGCCATCATGTGAACGCCGGCACCATTCCTGTGAGCTCCTGGCCCCTGGTATCGTTGTGTGCAGTCGATGATAAACCGTGGTCATCGAGGACGGCCATCACTCGACCGCTTGAGGTCCAGTAAACCATGAGATTGTTAGAGTTACGGTAACGGACGCTGCTCTTCCAGAGGGCACGATGAGCTTGAGTCACAATTAATGGGACACCTTGAATTAAAGAGGGCAACACGACGAAAGAAACATATACAGACGACGCATACATTGAGGCACTCGGTTCGTGCTCTGATCAGCGTCATCCACTCCTAATGTCATTCTGAGATGGAGCGCTATAGAGATTTGTGCAATCGAACCTGTACAGCGATGGCCATTGGCTACCTGTCTTGTTGATCGGTACACTGAGGCTGATATTTAATTTTATCGGTCTTGACGGGATGGGCATCATGGTCATTTATGATTGGACGTCTCCCATCGGTTTGATGGCGTAGTTGGTTATCGCATCTGTCTAACACACAGAAGGTCGCCAGTTCGAGCCTGGCTCAAATCATTTTTTTCCTTTCGAACTTTTCGGCGCACTCGTTGCTCTGGTCTTTGCGTTAATCATATTCGGCAATCTCACACAGCATTTGACCAAAGAGTATTCAATACAGTTTCTACGTCAACAAATGGTAATAAATGTTAGAACAAAGATCAAAGTTCTACCGCTACAGCCCTTATATCGTCGAGACGGCCTGCATCTTTCCCCCAGTATCCACACAACTTGAAATGACAGAACTCGGGGATAATAACCGCAGACAAATCTTGTAAAACACCTGGTCAGCAAGTTTGGTTCTTCTTCAGAGTAAAACAAATCGCACATCGCAAAGATAACTTGGATGAATATAAGGGGGAGGAGGTAGAGAATAGAACATCAGCCCTTTTTGGCCAAACAGGTCGGACGGGTGTATCATGGGCTCATGCGGGCAATTTTCTGGAGTGATGGATTCTTCGCTCTCAGAAACAGAACACGTAGAGCAGAGCGATAGGGGTGCCAGTGACAAAGATCGATCCCCATCGTATATGCGAAGATGTGAGGATGTCCTCTCAATTCCCGCAATATCGCCAGGCCATTGGACTGCTGGTGCAGAACTGCGGTAATCCCACTGAGGTCGCTGTGGGGCTCCGCTATCAGCGGAGGAGTCAGATGACCAGTAGGAAGCTTTAGCACATGCAGCCATGGCTTGATGTGGGGGGTATGTAGTATACTTGCGAGCGGGTTCTCGTGCGTCCTTCGAGGCGATGACTTCGCTGGGGTAGAAGGTATCAAGGTTTATGATCTCTTCTCTGAGCCTCAAAAGGCTAATCCGTGCAGACTCTCGTAGGTGAAATATTCGCTTGAGGATTTCGTTGAAAGATTTTGAAATAGGAAGGACCTCGAGAAGGAAATTAGGGTTGTTGATGTATTTCCGGAAGTTTTGATCCGAAGGCGTTGCGGGTCCCCAAGGAGAACGACCCGAGACCATGTTCACCAGAATAACACCCAACGACCAGATGTCCGAGTGAAGTGACGAGTAATGAGGGCTCCCGGACTCGAAATTACATTCTGAAAAGTAAAATATCAGATAATGACCCCATGTGAATGTTGACATACCAGGGCTCAAGTAATCCCAACTACCTACGTTGAATTCCCGACTGATAAGTTTTGTGGTCGACAGCCCAAAATCTGCAATACGGATGCCCGACCCGGGCTCGACACAGAGAATGTTCTCTGGTTTCAAATCACGGTGATATACGCCAACGGAATGACATGCATGTACGCCATCGAGAAGCTCAATGAATACCTTCTTAATGAGCGGGACATTGCCCTCATACTTTCGCAACTTGATGGCCGTAAAGAGGTCACCACCAGGGCAGTAGTCGAGTACGAAGTACATATATAGTCCTTCCTCGATGATTTGGTGAAGTTTGCAGATGTGTGGTGATGACGACCTGGATGCCAACCAGTGGCATGCGATCTCCCGTTTCTGCCATACGAGGCCATCTTGGGAGAGTTCCGTGTTTAGCAAGCACTTGATGGCATAGTAAACAGGATCACATGGGTCTGACTGAGTGTCGAGAGCACGATAGACAGTTCCGGAGGCACCAAAGCCAATCAACTCGAGCAACTTGAAACGATCGTCGCCGACCGACTGACCAGACAAGTCTGGAATTGGGAGCAGTTCCTTTTGATAATTCATGGTTGTAATTGGGTTATGTCGAAAGGAGGTAGATTCAAACGAGACGGCGTGAGGTAAAATGTTGAATTTGGGGGGACAGTACTTAGTTGATGAGTACTAGTTGGTGTCAGGTTGAATTGTAGTCTTAGGGGGGAATAAGCAGACAGCATGATTTTATAACTTGACGTCGACGTCGTGGTCTCACTTGTACCCATGTCGGATGTTAAGTCGGATCCGGGATGACTCATCATGTGACGAAGTTCTCGGGCCAAGTCGCAGTCACACTTTCATCACTCAGAACTCTTTGTGCATGCAGGGCGTATTCAGCTTATATTCCAACATGACATGTTGTCGCAAACAGTCCCTAGCTAGGGTGCATGGCGTTCCACAGTGCTATCGATTATCTGGCACTGTCAGTACAATCACACGAATTGTATATAATCATTCGGCTTTTCTTTGTGCGCCTTCTCTTGAACATTTACGCCATTACCTTACGTACAAAATACACTTGATTCTACATTTTGCCTTTGCGTGCTAACTGAGTAGTACGATACAAATCCAGGAGCAGCAATCAACACAAGACACTCCGAGTCTTGCATATCCTCTTCATCCTTGAGCTTGGCGGGCCACTTTCGCTGATTAGACTGATCATCACATTGTCTATTTCTTTAGCACAGATTCTTCCGTTAATCCTCGTTGGTAATCTCGAATATGGAAATACACGTGCAGCTCACCACTCAACCCATCCTCCATCCTCATTATTTTTGCTCCATCGCACCATCATGCCTGGCAGCTCAGACAGTCAATATATTAGACTCGAAGGTGAGTCCATCCATATTACCCTCCCATCTGTTTAATGATCCTCGCACTCTATCTACAGTTATCAACGGAAAAAATCTTCGAGTCCCTTCCGGGCGCATTCCCACTGGCATTTACGTGTCCATCAATGTTGACTCGAGGAGACGCTGGAAATCGGTCATCAGTGTTTTATCATCTGATGAATCTGCAGCGTGGGGGGATACTGTAACTTTGTAAAGTCCACGGAGACTTACGCGGCGCGAGAACTTATCATCGGCTTATAGATCGTCACAGGCGTCACCTGCATTATCAGTGGAAATCAGGGCGTCTTATGAGGCCGATCGAATGCTAGGCAGTGGAGAGATAATCGGGGAACTTCAAATGTCGTGGGATGAGCTACTCGATCATGGAGATAAGCCATTCGGTGAGTGACTTGCTCCTCATTCATACACATATACCAACACCTCGTAGATCCATCCTTCCCACCCGTGCGCGGTGTCCACCCTTCCCTCACGCTGAAGGTTGCCGTTGTACATGCTTGCGATAATCAAACCGACGCACTGTCTGATGTGAGTGACGCTGGTCTCTGTTCTTAGCTTTTGCTGACAGAACGCCAACGATAGTCCCTCGTAGACTGGAAAATTGCTCGAGACACAGATGCGGGCCACGCAGCAATTTGCCAAATACGTGACAAGCGAGAATGTCTCTCACTTGAATGCTGCTGTAGAGCATTTTCAATTGGTCCTGGACCAGTGTCCGGTCAGCCATCCGGACCACGCAGCGGCTCTCGCCAACCTTGCATATCCGTGCCTTCAAGGATATATTCGCAAGGATATTCAAGACATTGATACCACGACTTCTCTATTCCGCGACGCCCTTGTTTTGCGTCCACAGCGCCATCCCGATCATCCCTTAACTCTATATTATCTCACCGAGGCCCTGACTTGGCGTCACAACAAGAAAAGTACTGCCGCCGACATCCGCGAAGCCGCCCAACTCTATCGTGGGCTACTACCTCTCTGTCCAGAGGGTACCTACCTTCGTAGCATCGCGACAGGGCCAAATGGTGTCGACTATGTCATTGGCGTATGCAACAATCTTCCAATAGACACATCTGATGAAGGCATCCACCTTCGAAGAGTCGTCTTCGAGCTCTGTCCTCTGGGCCATCAACTCCGTCCCAGTGCCCTTCACTGGCTTGCACAGGCAGTAGAAGTCCGCTTCCAACAGTGTGGCAGCATTGACGATATATACGAAGCCATCCAACTTCGTCGAGAAGTCGTTTTCCTGTGCCCCGAGGGACATGCTGATCGTGATAGCTACCTGAACAACTTGGCTTTATCACTCGAGTCCCGCTTCATTCACCAAGGCAAACTCAATGACCTCGAAGAGGCCATTTCTTTGCACGAAGAAGTACTGCGCCTGCGGCCTGTTGGGCACAAATATCGTTATTTCTCATTGGGAAACCTAGGGGGCACCCTCATCATCCGTTTCAACAAACGCGACGACATTGATGACATTACCCGAGCTATCAGCCTCTGTCGCGAGGCACTGGCGTTGTGCCCACCTGGGCATCTACGTCATGATACCATACTTAACAACAACCTTGCCCTCGCGCTCAACACCAGATATACCAAATTGCATGTCAGCGAGGATCTTAACGAGGCCATTGATCGAAATCGCGAATCTCTTCGGTTAAAGCAGCATGACGATCCAGAGCGCCATGTAACTCTTCGCAATTTGAGCTCGGCGCTCTGCTCTCGTTTCATACAAACTCAGGAGAATGAAGATGTCGAGGAGGCCATCACTCTTTGCCAAGAATCATTGGCAGATTTGTCTTTACTCCACCCAGACAGACACCACTCCTACTGCAGGCTACGGGAAGCCTATATGTCTCGTTACTGCGTGCAGTGCGAGCCTGCCGATCTGGCACTTGCAGTAGAGAACTTCAGACTCGCATCAAGACATCCCACTCAAGGGTTTCCTGAACGCATCATGGAGGCTATTGTCTGGGCTCGCCATGCAGAAGTCTATCAACATGAATCTGCCCTCGAAGCGTACATGACATTTTTCGAGCTTCTTGATGGTCATTTGGCCACACGATCATCCACCATTCCACGGCGCGAAGCTGCCGCTGCCTTCCATTGTGCCAGATCACTACCTGTAGATGCAGCATCATGCGCCACACGCCGTAACAATCTACGACACGCAGTAGAACTCGTGGAACAGGGCCGTGGCCAGCAATGGTCGCTGGCCTCTCGACTCAAGACTCCAGTTGAAGACCTCGAGTCAGCAAATCCGACACTGGCGCACAAATATCTGGAGCTGAGCAAGCACGTTTCTAATGCTGCCCATAGTTCTGCAACAATTACCGACGGAGCTGCTGCTGATCGGGCAGCAACAGAGTACAGGAGACTTACAAGGCAATGGGAAGCTGCGGTAGCTGAGATACGTGATCTTCGCGCGTTCTCGCGGTTCTTGCTCCCACTTTCATACCAAGACCTGCAAGCGGCAGCGCGCCAGGGCCCGGTCATCATCCTCATTGCGAGTCAATACTCTTGCAGCGCCATCATTGTCCCGACATCAGGAGACCCCCATCACGTTCCCTTGCCATCTGTTGCTCTCGGAGAGCTGACAAATCTGAAGGATCGCTTCACCAGGGCAATACGACACGCATCTACCATGGGCCCCAAAGTGCCGCGGAACGATCTAATAGTCCTCTTGCGGACAGTATGGGACGAGATCATGCTACCCATCGTCAATGTCCTCCAGCAGGATCTGAAACTACAATCCCACTCTCGAATCTGGCTGTGTCCAACTGCAGCTTTCACATCCATTCCTCTCCACGCAGCTCACCCATTTCGAACGAACCCAGATCGCTCTAAGGAGCCATGCCTGGAGGATCTCTACATCTGTTCTTACACACCGACACTTTCGGCTCTGGTCAGATCTAGACAGTTGATGAAGAAGCCTGTCACTCCGTCCTTCGTGACAATTGGACAGGGTCAACCGGGTACAGGGAAAGGTAAGGCACTATTGGCTGTCGACAGCGAGCTCGAGCTCGTCCATAAGCTTGTCCCTGCGACGGCCAATCGTACCACTATTTCTGGTGACGCAGCCACTCGAGCAAATGCACTCGAAGCTTTGCAGCAGAACACCTGGGTGCACCTTGCTTGTCATGGCAAGCAGGACCGTACGCAGCCTTACAATTCGCATTTTGTCATGAAAGATGAACATCTGACGCTGCTCGATATCATGGACAAAGACATTCCTCACGCCGAATTCGCGTTCTTATCCGCTTGTCACACCGCTGTCGGCGATGAGGAGACGCCCGACGAAGTGATTCACCTCGCAGCTGGTCTGCAGTTTTCAGGGTTCAAAAGCGTCGTTGGCACGCTGTGGGAGGTCGACGATGCTGTCGCAAAACACGTTGTTGAAGCTTTCTACAAATATATGTTCAAAGATTCGGAGGATGGTGTCATGGACTGTACGAAGGCGGCCTGGGCGCTCAACTGTGCTACACACGCCGTGAAGACGAAGGTACCGCTCGAGCAGAGGATGGTTTTTATTCATATCGGCGTGTAGTTCTATCTCGCATGGCTTTCATCATAGTCTCTAGTACAAGCTGTTGATATTTCATCCCGTTGGTGTACCTGGCCCGTTCCTTCCTTGATACTAGCTTTGCATCCCCTCTCGTGCTGTCTTAGAAGCATCTTTTTTACCTTCATTCGTTGTTCAAGTATTTGAATTCAGCTCTTCACACAGTCGTTGCTCCGAGGAAATGCGTCAGGAAGCAAGGAGAGCATTGGTCATTGTGAGTGGCTTCAAGTTCTTTGACCCTTGGCTTCTACATGCTGGTTTTATATTCTAAGTAAAGTTCGAGGCACGAGAACGTACATAGAATGAGGTCTACGCGGCGGCATAGCTTTTTCGAGTTTCTCACCCTTCTTGCTTCGTACTACCACGTAGTACTTGCAAGTCCTCTACTGATAGACTACACTCTCGTTTCGTCGCATCGTCTACACTTACTTCAGTCGTCATGCCGAGGATGCGTAACGATCCCAACTTCAATGTTTGTCCAGACTACGCGTCGGATGGTTTTGCCAATACTCGAGCTCAACTCATCAGTGATGAGGTTACTGAAGAACAGGCGATACAACTACTCAAGAACATCTGGGAGGCGAATAACAACGTAGACAAGGTAGCCTGGCAACGCCAAGTAGCAGAAGATAGAGAAGAGCACGCTCACCGCAAACAACTTGAAGAGGAGGAGCAAGAGAGAATTGAACAAGCGCGAATTCAAGAAGAAGAGGCCGCTTGCAAGGAAGATAGGAAGAAGAATAAGCACAAGTTCACGCCAATTCTCAATACAGGAATACTGGATGACCCAGCTACCACACCGTGCTCCTACGCGCTTAGGAAAATAGAAAAAGGCGAGTATGTTGAAATATGGTATTTCACTAACGACGGCCTGGATGAAGCCAATCTAAAGAAAACAGTGGACGATGATGCCATGATCATGTCCACTCTGGCAGACAGTTCGTCAGCATGGGTCTCAGCGGCGTCCACTCGCAGCGCTCGCGCCGTCGTTAACGACGAAGACTTACCGTTTGAGGAATTCTGCCAAGCCTGCCCTCGCATGCTGACAGCAATGGGCAAAGCAGACTGGCCAGAGGACAGGGTCAGAATGATGGCCAAGTTCTGGAGGAACATCCAGGTTCACGAGTACCAGTCCATGCGGAACCTGATAGGGCAGAAGGCCCTGCTGGCCTACCAGGCAGAGCAACGCAGACGTTGGCACATCACAGTAAAGACGTCTGTGGGTCCCTACGACCTATCTATCGTCAACAAGAAAGTTCTACAAGAGACAAGAGAGAGGGTTTACTGGGATGAACGCGACAAGAGAGACAATGCTAGGAACTACAAGGTCAGTCTTATTCAATCAATGAAACATAAGCTTGAGCTAATCACTTGGTTTTAATAACTCTTTCTTGTTGTATCATTTTTTGACGCCTTGCCACATGCCACACATAACATGCCTCATGCCACACACGCTATGCCACATGCCACATGCCACGCTGCTCAACGCAGTCCAACCAACGCGATAACGCGTGGAACAAGCAGCGCGATTTCAAAGACGCGCGTAAGCGATCAGCTTCACCCAAGCATACCAGCAAAGGGAAAAGGGCGAGACAGGATTTTCGGGCCAGCACAAGCAGAGGCATCCTCTTGGCTTGTGCTGTCTGCCTCTGGGTGAAACCTGCACAAGATCATTGAGTGCAAGGCCACTCGGACTTGGGACGATGTGGGCGACACCATTTGCTCGCGCATCGGCAGAGTCCTCACCATGCGGGACGGCAAGCCCGTCTGCAGCGACTGGCAACGACTCAGCGGTTGCGCCGAAACCACTCACGACTGGAGGCACTTTTGCTCCGGTTGTGGCATATCCTCTCACGGAGCTCAAACTTGCCTTTGAGCGCAGAAGGCTTAAGGCACTCACACCTTACGACCCGAAGGCTTGGGAAGTTGGACTTGTTTCAGCCGGACTTTATGACAGATACTCGCATGTACCAGAAGGACTCCGTCACGGTTTCCACCTTAATATCCCTAATATTAAACGCACGCAAGCGCCACCTAACAAAGAGTCTATTGTTACATATCAACAAGAGTTTCAATCCATTGTACAAACTGAGCTTGAGAAAGGAAGATACATTGGTCCACTCAAAGCTAACGAAGTCGAAGATCTCATCGGCCCTTTTCAATCCTCCCCCTTTTCAATTATTCCTAAACCGGGTCAACCTGGACGTTATCATGTCATTCAGAACTATTCTTTTCCCCATCTTACTTCAACGAAATTCCCTAATGCGTCAATCAATTCCTACATTGATCCAGACAATTTCCCTAGCACTTGGGGTACCTTTCACGTACTCGCTCTCACAATCAGCTGCCTACCGCCAGGATCTCAATTTGCCATCAGGGACGTCTCGGAAGCATACCATACAGTGCCTATTCACGAGTCTCAATGGCCAGGGTCAGTTGTGTGGGTCTCGGATGACCTGTTCTGCATTGATACATGCATGTGCTTTGGATTACGGCTGTCGGCAGGAGCTTACGGAAACCTGGCCAATGCCGGTCTGGACTTATTCCGTTTGAAAGGAATCGGACCAGCCTCAAGATGGGTCGATGACCATCTATTTATTTGAATACTTAAAGAACACATCGCGTCATACAACGAAAGGAGACAACAATGGCATCAAGAAATCACTAGAAGGGGCCAGCATCAAGATAAAGGAAGGATATGGTTTGGTGGACACGTGTTCGATGATGGAACGATGGAGGAATTCGACGAAGACTACCGTTTTCCCATTCAAGACTTATCAGGGGCGTCGCCCAGGTCAGATGAAGATGCCCGGTTCTCTTACAACATGGCGGACATTGATGAGGTCTCTGACGACCTCGACATCCCATGGGAGATACTTAAGGATAAGATTTTTGCCCACCTCAACCCATACATTGGTCTTATGTGGGATCTCACCCAGAATGAAGTCTTCTTGGCTGACGAGAAGAAAAACAAGTATCTCCAGGCTATCAGAGTATGGAGAGAGCGCGTCGCGCACGTCCTCATTGATGTCCAACAGCTGTATGGTAAGCTATTGCATGCCACGCTCGATGTCCCAAAAGGACGGGCGTATCTTACATCCTTGGAGGCCATGCTACGCCTCGCAGCAGTTAAGCCTTTTCTCCCACGACGACTGGTTAAGAGACTTGAAGCAGACCTTGACTGGTGGAGTGACTTGCTCCAAAAGCCTTTCGTCAGTCGTACGATACCCAGTCCTCTATCATTACATGACCCAGCAGCCTTCTCAGATGCGAGTTCCGGTGTTGGAATTGCTATCATTATTGGAGATAGATGGAGAGCATGGAGGCTGCGCAAAGGATGGCAAAAGCTCGACGGGGAAAAAGACATTGGATGGGCGGAGGCAGTTGGATTTGAACTCCTTGTCCAACACCTCATTCAAGAGGAAGGAACAGAGCGTCACTTCAGGGTCTACGGAGATAATCAAGGAGTTATCGAAGGCTGGAGAAATGGCCGTAGCAGGAACTTGGCAGTCAGCTCAGTATTCAGACGGATTTTCTCTCTTATCGATGATTCCTCAGAGCCTTACTCTTTTCACCCCACCTACGTCACAAGCAAAGCCAATCCAGCGGACGCACCATCCAGAGGGGTCTACGACAGTACAAAGTTCCTACTCCCGACCCTCCCCATCCCAACCGCGCTTCAACCATTCATCATCGATCCCTTCGTCATCTCCACTAACCCGGCAGACTACGATACGGGAGGAACCCACCCAAGCATCGGCAGGAGAGCTGCTGACGGCCATTCAGATAATCATTCCAGCACAGAGAGACATGTCACTTGTGGACGCACTATACCCCATCCACGAACTTCAACAGCGGGACTGTTAATACCACCCATTTCAAGGCCACACTCCCCATAGAACAACCGGCCATACCTCAGCCATACAAGCAAGGCCTAGCGCCCGTGTCGTCTCGCCTGAGACTGCACTGTTTGGCTCAGGATCAGCTAAAACAATGGTTCCTGTTGAAGTCGAGACTAGCAGAAACGGTAGAAGGAGGTTGTTAGCGATTACTGATGAGGGACCTGCAGAGGGTAACTCACAGTAATGAACATGTCATGGGCCGCGAGCACCAGGGAATGCTATGGAGCAGGGTTGCTGGTCTTTCATGTTTTCTGTGATGAAAGGGCCCATTCCAGAGGAACAATGATGCCCGGTTGATACACGCACAATGTTGAACTTCGTGTTGAGTTGTGCGGGCTCATACTCGGGGAAGACGCTGGCGAACTACGTATACGCGATCAAGGCATGGCATACATTGCACGGCCAGCCGTGGGAGGTTCAACAAGACGAGTTGAAAGCATCCTTGGATGGAGCGTTAGAATGCACTCCCGAAACGTCCAAATGCATGAAAACGCGAACCTTTTTCAACAAGTCTAATCCTTCAAATTCAGTCCCATCTTGGTCTATTGAAGCCACTTGACGCGGCAGTTTATGCGTGCCTAACGACCGCGTTCTACGCATTGTGTCGTCTAGGCGAACTCACCGTTAGGGCTCTGAATGCCTTTGACATTGATAAGCACATCAAACAATCCAACGTGCAAATCGACATCAAAGATCGTCATGATTTTCTAGTCACCAAGATTTTTATTCCGCGAACCAAACCTCGAACATCGGCCAGAGCGTATTCTGGGCGAGACAAGACAATCTTACCGACCCA